AATAAAACAGCTATTTACTCATTGGAAAAGCTTATTCTTACCATATGGAGAGTGGAGCATTCATCCTAGCCAACCTCAATTTTTGCTTTCCCATTTGTTTCCCAGACTTTGAGAAGGTGAAACGCCGTCTCCAGGACACCAATATTTATCAAATCTCCAAATTTCTCTGTTTACTTTCGGTCAGACTTGGAAACAAACACTTGAAATGATTCATATAAAAATTTAGATCTTGGAAAGCTTTGAGGACATTGTGGTTTTCGCCCCTCCTGCTGAGTTTTTCTACAAACAAGGTGAAGAATGCAAATCAACCACAATTATCCATCCTTATCCACTTATCCAACTTGGGGTCACTGGGGGAATTGAAACCTACTGCAGCTGTCATAGGGTGGGAAGCAGAATACACCCTGGACAGGTCACCAATCAATCACATGGCTAATCCACAATGACTTACACATGATTGAGAAATACGTAATACACACACACACACGGCAGAATTATCCTCATTTTGAAAAAAAAAAAAGTATAATAATAAATATACAGACAGCAAACCACAACAACAACAACATAAAAGAACAAATGTGTTTGAATGTCAACAGGATGTAAAAAGAAATATTATTGAGAAGCAATGATGATGTGTTAGTGGCTGAGTCAGCGTTTCAGTAATTTTACTTATTTATTTTTGTTTGTGAAGAGAAAAATAACAAGGTGAAGCAGCCACTGTGGTTGAAAAAGAAGCCAATAAATAAATGTCAAAAAAGTGCAGTTCCTCTAATGGCATCACTTGACTGTTTCTTAAACATGAACTGCATTAAAGATGGAGGCAGCCACTATGACTTCACCTGCTGATGGTGAAAGGCCTTTTTGGAGTCACCATCTCGAAAGCTTCTTTTGAAGTGAAACACAACAAGCAATTTAATGGGTGGATCTGAGTGTGAGACTGAGGACTGCTTACTGATTGGTTAAACAATGGTCAACGTTTTCCTATAAGCGTTCCTAAATCTTTTTTTAAACCAGTGGTCAGCCATGCTGGCCACTAAAACAACAACAAGATTAGGGCACTTGCATCGACTTCATCTGTCTGAGGAGTACAGACCCATAAACCTCCATGAGAAAGCTCCTTCCTGGTACACGGTTTATCGTCTGTAGTTCTGTTTTCTCTAAAGTTTCCCATGCATGAGCTAATCCAACTGGTATAGCTAATAATGCCCAAGCTCTATTTGATCATCCAAAGATGCTGACATCCCAATTATGAATATACAGCTCATGACAGCTCAGTGAGACAACTGCATCCCATTTCAATAGTTCAGCTTCCAAACTGACAAAGGGAAGTTTACTTCTATTGCCACTAAAGCTCATGAGCTTCAAGGATAATGCAAGACAATCCATAACTCTGTTAGACACAAAGCATGTTATCTTGTAAGGTAAAGGCCCTACAATAATACAGAGAAAAACCCAACAATCAGATCACCCCCTTAAGAGCAAGCACCTGGTAACAGTGTGAAGGAAAAACTCCCTTTTAACAGGAAAAACCTTCGGCAGAACCAGGCTCAGGGAGGAGCAGCCAACTGCCGTGACCGGTTAGGAGTGAGGAGAGGAAGACTGGACAAAATACATGCTGTGAAAGAGAGCCAGAGATTAATAATAACTAATGATTAAATGCAGAGTCGTGTGTAAGCACATCGAGTGTGAAAAGAGGCGGGTGAAGAACAAACACTCATTGCATCATTGGACATCTAACCTACAGAGGGAAGATTTAAGGTCACCTCATCCAGCCCTACCTATAAGCTTTATCAAAAACAAAATTTGAAGCCTAACCTTAAAAGTAGAAAAATAGTTTCTGGGACAACCCGGTAATAATCAAATCCAAAAGTCCAGCCTAAAGGTAATAAATGCATAAACTAATGTTTCAGCATCACCCCGAGACAGGATGTTTCTAAATGAAATGAAACATTTCAGTGTGGATATGTTTTAAATTAACTTAAAACACTTTATTTTTTTTACTTTCTAATAAATTTCACATCATGCTGACTCCAGAGTTGTTACAGGATATAATCTGAAGGTGTTTATTGCAGTTTAGACAAACCAGCAACATTTGATGAGGATATTTATGATTTTGTTTAACTGCCTCCACATGACGAGAAATTAAATAATCAGAAATATTGTCTTTTAACTTTTGCACTACAGATTGATTTGTTCAACCTCATGAAAATGCTTCATCTTCCTCCAAAATTTAATAGACAAAATATGAACTTACGCAGTACTAAGCGCAGTAGGTGAAAATTCAGGAGACTTTCTGCCCGTCAAACTAGTTTTAACAGGAAAAATGGCAGCATGATGTACACACTCAAAACTCCAGGAGGAAACTTGGCTGGAGGATGTATGGAAATTGAAAGGCAGCCTCTCCTCCATATGGACAGAGTTACAGAGGAAAAGGAGGCTTAGTGATCTTTGTGGCTATTGGATGTCGATGGGCTTACAATCAATGAAGCGTCTACACTAAAGTCTTCAGCTGCCTGTCTGGAGACTGGAGGGATCCATGTTACCCAAACTAGAAAAGAGCACTTGAGAAAGAAGTGAAAAGGTTGAAGAGGACAAAGAAAAAAGGCAGGGGAGAAGCTGACGCAGAACAGAGAAGAAAGGAAATAAAAGAGGTGGAGGTGAACAAAAGCGAGCAAAAAGTGAAAAAGCAAAAAGAGGTTGATGGAGGCTAATAGGTCTACAGAGGAGGAAGAAAAGAGGAAGCAGTACAACCAGAATTAGAAAAAAAAAAGCTATGAGCAAGAGCACGAGAGGAAAAGTCAGGGGGAAAAAAAACGATGAGGGGAAAGTAGAAACTAGAAAGCTATAAAACTTCCTCTGTGTGTGTGTGTGTCTCTGACATCTGGATATGTTTATAGGCACTGGGTCAGTGACCGAAAGTAACCCCCTAAAACCTGGCTAGGCTTCAATCTCCTACTACACACCCACACACACACACATAAACACAATACTTGTGTCCCTAGTGTTATATAACTTTACACCCAAACCACACGTGCCAAAAACATAACCCAACACAATAGCCTCAAACAAAATACATACCCCAAACCTGAAAGCTGCACTTGGCAAACTTCTCTATGTCCTCTATAAAAAAAATACTCATGAGAACATCAGAGGAGGAAATAAGACACCACAAGACAACTTTTTTCCCCATTTTAGTAGAAATTGAATTGTAAATCATGAACGCTAATGCAACTAATATCCAGGACTAGCATTTTGCTTTGCCAAATACCTTTTGAAATGTATTCAGTGCCTGTATGGAGTTGGCAACAAAAATAACTGATGAAGAATGGAAACAGATGTTTAATGAGATTCATGAAGCTACCAATCTTTAATTTTGAGGGAATTTGCTTGGAAAATAAACATGACACAGTTGTTGACCCTGGAAATTACTTCTAATTATAGCAGGAGTTTAAATTCTCAACACTAGAGAAACTGTAGTGAAAGCAATGCAAATTACTGGCATAATTTTTAGTCATGCAAATGATCAGAAACCAGTTTGTACAGAAGGTGTTTTTTTCTCTCATATATAAAGAGTACAGTTTGTGTGTGTGTGTATGTATATGAAAATAATAAAGCTGTAATCAGTGTATGCAACACTTTGTGTTTTTGTATTTTAATTAAATTTCTTTTTTAATGAACTTTAATATTAGGCGGATAAAATGTGTTTATTAGTAAAGCTTTGGTAAGGCAAAAAATATCAAAACATAGATGACGCAAGTCTTGAGCAACCTCTCATGTCTTTATATTTTGCTTTAATTGGAGATTATGTATTGGAATTTCAGGAGCGGGACCACGCCTCCAAACGCGCTCCTTCCTGTTGTCATCTATATAGGTTCCCCCCAGTTCTGCAAACTGTTCATTCTCGTTTACGCTGAATCCATTTTGGAATAAGGCTGCAGCATGACAAAATGTGGAACAAGTGAGGCTCTGTGAATACTTTCAGGATGCACTGGGCCAGTACAAAGAACCAGTATGAGCATTTTCCTGATACCTCTTTTAAACTCTGTAACCTCAACAGAAATCAATAGACTCCACTCAGAGAAATCATCTGCAAAAGATCAAATGTTATACTGACACAGAAAAAGAGGATCAGTTACATCATTACTAATAGACACAACAGTATCAATGCCAATAAAAGTCTGCAGTACAACTGCATTAATATAAATACACACAGTTGGTTGGAGCTGTCACAAAGCACTTTACGTGCTGCATATTTGACAATGAAAAGATTGACTGTAACTTAATTAACAGATAGCTTAAGATAGAATGACTAAGCTCAGTGTGACCACTCATTGCGTTCAGCAGATATCCTTTGTTTTTCCTCACAGAAACTTAAAACAGACTGGATTCACACCTGGGCAACATCTGATCATACTGAATGTCAGACCATATCCAGATGTGGTCTTCCGAGCATGTTGGATGTATTTACACCTTACATTAGCATCTATTATTCGTAATCCAGACTAGCTATCGCTAGCGCATGTTGCATGTGAATATCAGGTGTGAATTGGGTCAAAGAGACAGCAGCGCAGGGATAAAAACAACCAAACAGCAGATTGAGAGGGAAAGAGTGAGAACATCTGACATCAGATGTTGCTGGGCCTTCCCTACCCGTTAAATCACCCCTTTACTTTCCTCCCTCTCTCACTCTGTCTCTTTCCGTTTTCTCTCTCACATGGCTGTAATTATGCTCATGTAAACAAATGAGACCAGAGAGAGACATCAGGAATTCCAGTTGGGCCTGTGGGAGCGGTGTTGCTTGCAAAATCGCACAGAATGACACACGCACACACAGCGGATGTACAAGTCAAACTAATACTTTCCTACAATCGTTCTCTATCTGCGTGACTATATGCATCAGGATACTTCACATTTCCACAGAGAAATTTTTCAAGGCATTTGAATATCACAGCACGGCAACTGCACATCCTTTTGTTGAAGAGAAAAACACATTAACTAACCTGCTCATGGTACTCGATTCCCATGCTCAGAGTATTGATCAGAATCGCAATCATAATCCCTCGGCCAAAGTACTTGCTGTCCACGATCTTTCGGAAAGTGTCGCACACCAGCCTCCAGAAGTGAACAACCTTGGCGGCCGTTTTCCCCAGCCTCCGGTGCTTCTTTTTGGGCTGCCGGCTGTCTCTTCTGTCCCTGTGGTGGAGGTCCTGAGTGAACTCGTATACCCCATCACTGTCTGAGTCTCCAGGTGTCTCGTTGCCCTCGGTCCCGCCCTCCGATTCGTTGGCCAGGGCCTTGGCGCAGTAGGGGCAGCTCTCAGGGTCTAGTGTCAAAGCGGCCGTGTCCATGGCGCTGCTGGTGGTGCTGAGGTCACGGGCTGACAGCTGGCAGGAGAGCTGGGCTGCAATGGAGTAAAAAAGGTCAGATGGAGAAGCTGAGGCAGAGAGAAGGGTACTGCGGTGGAATCAGCATGATTTTGATAAATTACTTAAATGAAGTGGTTTGGACAAATTGTCAGATCCAATGAAAGAGATCGGTTGTGAATGGGAGCATTTTTAGACAGTTGCGTGTGTGTCAGGAAAAGTGTGTTTGACGGTGATGGGCAGTGTGTCTGTTGTATGACTAATGCCTCGTCTCTACAGATTCTCTGGCCGCTAGCCAGCCTTTTTCCACCACCTGTACAACCCGAAGAGACCTTAACTGACTTTTGTTTGGCCTAAGACATTTTTTAAAAGTTGACCAAGAGGCAAAAAAAGTTGGCTGGACATGAGGCATTAACATTTATTGACTCTAATTAGCACTCTATCTGCTTGTCATGAAAAGAGCAAAAATCTCTTTCTGGACAGTGTTGTAGCTCGAGGCTTAGTCAGAACAAATCAATACTGCACAGCGCCAAATACGTGATTGCAGTTAAAGGAACACAACCACTGGTGTGTTACATCATTTCCTTCAACACCAATATGGAAATTAGCATGGGCTGAGTAAATGAGATAGCAGTGTTTCCCACACAAAGAGTCTTCTCGGGCAGGCTTTCCAGGTATATGAATGGCACCCCAACTACAGTAGGTGATGATTAATTTTAGCATATTTTGAATTCTTTCTATCTGTCTTAGAAAACAATGTCATCTGTGATCGATTTACTGTTGGACCATTCCCTGACTCTTATTTTGTTCACTTGCTTGCTAGTCCTGGCCTTTCATGTTTTCCCTGCCAGCTGGCTCCCTGGCCAGGTTACTGTTGTCCTCCAAATCGTTCAGCTGCTACCCCAAAAGGGATCTTATCCATAGCCAGACATACTCCAACTTCACTATCATGGCCTACAGCTGGCAATTGTAGACTTTGTTCTGGTCTGGAGGACCACTGCAAACAGGATGGCCTCTCTAAATACAACCTGCACGTCGACAACTGGTTTGTGTGCAGCCATGCCGAACTCAGAGGGTGCAGAGCAGAAGGGCTACCATTTACCAGCTGCAAAACATGATGGTTTAGTTCAACCGTGTGAGACCTTGGGATCATATCATCTCTCTATGGATATCAGCTGAGTGGCATCACGGACCGCCACAATAGCAACCTGTCCAGTGAGCCAGGTTGTAGGGAAAACACATGAAGCACCAGGGTTAGGCAGTTAGCAGTAACTAAACTGTCAAAATAAGAGTGAGAAGATTATCCACGAGTAAATTAATTGGAAAATTAATAAGCCAGTGGATATTCTATTTTTTTCTCCTATTTAGCTCAGCTAACACACAAAAATGTATCTGCATCTGCTGCCTCATTGTGTGTTTACCTGTTGGACTGAGCGGGTCTACCAGACTCGATGGCCTTCTGTCCTGGGGCATTGGTGGAATATTAAGGTTGATGTTCGTCAGGGTGCTAGCTGCAATGCTCCCTCTTCTAGACTCGGCCAGAGCCCGAGCTTGAAGGGTGGGGTAGTTCTTAGGCCCTGGAGCAGCAAAGGGCACAGAGTTCCTCTTAATGGCCCTGGACTTGGGAGCCGGAGCCAAGGAGAAGAAGCCTGGAGCAATTCCAGAGTTGGTGTTGAAAATGCTGCAAACTGAGGATGAATCAGCAGCAGGACTGGACAAAATCGCAAGGTTCATATCAGAAGTTGCTGCTGTCACTGAAGAGGGTAGCGCCACGGCAAGATGCCCACTTCCAGTGTTTGCTATGAGAGTTCCCCCGTTGTTGTTATGAGCCCCACCTTCTGCCTCCCTACTGTCCAAACATCTGGTGCTCCCTCCTCCCCTCACACTACCATTCCCTAGATGGTAGTGGTGGTGGTGCTGGTGATGATGATGCATTATGTGGTGAACTGACACAGACCCCTGCCTGGAGGTCTTTCTCCTTCTCCTCTGGCTGTGGCTGCGTTGGATATCTGTGGCTGGGGGCGAGGCAGCAATGTGGAGCCCAGCACGACGGGCCAAGAGCCTGCAGATATGGGCCACTTGCTTGGCCCCCTTGCGGATGATGTGAACCAAGTACTTGAGGAGCTCGTCATAGCAGGAGCCTGGCTCGGATAGGGATGCCAGAGTGCTGGCGTTGGACATGAAGCGCACTCGTTGTTCCTTCATCAGCTGGCTCTCCCTCTGCTTGGTCTCTGAGAACTGAGTGGCAATGACCACCAGGCACAGGTTGATCATGAAGAACGAGCCAATCTAAGGGGAAAGAAAGAGAGATGATATTGTTACTGAGGTCTGAAGAATGAAGACTACAGAGAGAACGTTGTTTGAAAGATGTGTTGACCCAGGTAGTTGTTAGCATTAGCAATTAGCTCTGCTAATCGGAATAATTCAGCTGGACCTCTACTTAATGTTATGCTGTTGGGGCTTTTTCAGTTATGTTACATACTATGTTACTTAGCATCTGTCTACACTTGTACAGTTTGTGGATAGAGATTACCAAGCTTGGTAACCATTAGCTAATATCTTAGCACCCCACCCTCTTGTCCAAATATGCTAGCAGCTGCAAAAATTTTAATATTGAGGCTTAAAGCATTGGGTCATATCACAGTACTTATGTCCATCTTGTGTACAGCCTACATTCACACATGATCGGTGGATGCTCACACCCCCAGTTGACCCTCTTCTTCAGTCGTGTGCAGATATACTTACAATGATGAGCAGGATGAAGTAGATGAAGTTGTAGAAGGAGTGAGCATCCATCACAAAGTACATGATGTCCACCCAGCCTTCCAGGGTAATCACCTAAAAATGAACACCAGGAGTTAAGTACATACAAACATAAAAAAAAATTGAAAGAAGAAACCAAATAAAGAATGGAATTTAAAAATAGAAATTGAAAGAGGACATATTTCCCAGTGCTATAAAAACCAGGACTCAGCATAAGAGTAATCCTCCAACATTTATGTTGTTTGTTTTACCCCATGCAGGCTGAACATCTTCAGTCTGGCTCTCAAAAAATACCCGCCCCCCAGCAAGACAACTATGACTGAATACTCCAACAAAATGTTATTCAGATGATGTGAAGATAGCAAAGAAATGGTGTGGAAAAAATTAGCTGCAGTCTGATTGTGCGATGTTGGTGACCTGCTAATCCTCTAAGCCCTCTTTCTCTGATAGACTAGCCCAGGGGTAATTAGGCTCCATTTCTCCCTCTTCATCTCCATTTTGGATTACAGGATTGTGCATGGGCCAAATCGTACTGTATGTTGCCACTGCAGAAAAACTATTTTGGTATCTTCAAATCCGACCATTTGTCCTACCTGAAAGATGGCGATCCAAGCATAGCAGATGTTATCAAAGTTGATGGCTCCCTTGAAGGGGTTGATCAGACCAGCAGAGCAGTTGGTATAATACTGGTTCCAGTTGACGCAGGTGGTGTTGTCAGTGCTGTTATAAGAGTCAATATCCAGGGTGCACTCCAGGCCCCCCTCCTCATACAGCTTGGGAATCGAGCTACAGTCCCTCATGCCGTTGTCTCGGGGTTGAGAGCAGATGAAGGGGTTCTCGTCGTCGTTTTCAGTGTGGTAGTACTTTCCCAGCTCCAAAGACAGAGGGCTTGCATGAGGAAGAAGGGGAAATATTAGTATGGACTTCAGATTGCATTAACTCACAGAAAAATCAGGACTAAATTAAAATGACAGTGAGTTGGCCAAAAGACCCTGCAACATTAGACAGACCCCAACAAAACCCCAGCAATTAAATAATCCAGAATCAGGGTCAGGGAGCTGCAGCTATCTGGTGCAACCAGTTGGGAATGAAGGGAAAGACAAGAGAGCATATTTTAATAATCACTAATGTTGGTTTAAACTTCTATATGCAATAGTGATTTATAAGTATATGGAGAGTGAAAAGAGCTGAGTGAAAAAGAAACAGTGATGAGAAGCATTCAGGCTTTGCAGCATAACTAGGATTTGACCATCTGATCCCTAACTATAAACTATAAATAAGCAAACCACAAGAAACCCTACAATTTGAGAGTGATGTGTCAAATTTGGATGTTATGGTACTATTAGATTTTAAAAATACAACGGGGCTTGATTATTCATATCCTTGTATATGAGGAGAAGGATTTCAAAGTCTGTTCTGGATTTAACAGGGAGTCAGTGATGCCCATGTTCCTAATATGGGCAGAATATACCCTTTACTCTCACTGTTAATACTCTTACTGCAGCATTCTGAATCAGCACAATGGTTCTCAGAGAGACTTTAGAATGACCCGATAATAATGAATTACAATAGTCCATCCTAAAAGTGATAAATCCATCAACTAGTCTTTCAGCATCACTCTGAAACTAGATTTCTTTTTAGATTAAAATATATGTGCAAATGAATAAAGGAAGTCCTACATAGTTGTTTAACATGCGCACTGAAGGACATATCCTGCTCAAACATAACAGATTTCCTCAAGTTTACTGAAGGCTAAAGTAATGCCATCGAGAGTAAGTACCTGGTCAGATGCCATGTTTCTAAGAGGGCCGAGTACAATAACCCCAGTTTTGTCCAAATTTAGAAGTGTTGGCACACAGCATTGAGGATAATAACACTGGAGGAATTGCTTCCATAAACTCAGTTACAGCACTTTCAGAAAGACTATTGTATTATCTACTGTATTGAAATGTATTTCCCAGTGCAGTGTAATTAAATTACAATTATGTGTTTAAATTACACTCTGAGTTGGGTTATATTCACTCTGAAAAAAAAACAATAAAGTGTAATAATTTAATGAATCTGTGTCAAGGCTGTCAGCATCAGCGTCTACATGAATGTTAAAGTTACCCAATATTATTCATTTATCTGAACTTAACACTAAATCTAATAAAATATAAGACAGGTCGATCATATATAAAATAGACAGACATATAGGGTTGTAGAAACAATACTACAAAAGTACTGCAATTAGAAAGAATCACATATTTTAGTCAAAAATGCAACTATTTTTATTAATAATGACTGGACTAAATGACTGGACCTCAAAAAGTGAGGCAAATAAGATATATATAAATTATAAATGATTCTGAAAGAATTATCATCTTAAAAGTAATGCATAAATTTGAGCAGCTGCATGTTGCAAAACAGCCTGACGAAATATCTCAGGTTAAATATGTGACCTTGAATGTTTCCAAGAAAAAAAAAAGTCCAGAGATGTCTTTCCTCAGGGAATAGTCTTTTTCACATGTATTCAACTGCAGCCTGCATTTATTGTCATAATTGGCGGGACATTTTTAATTTTCCTAATGGTGTTCCTTTTGGACTTTATTATAAACCCAGCACAATTTTAAGTGGATCAACTTCAAAATCCCAAAGTCTGCAGGTTTTAAATCCATGCAAACACTACAGCAGCTGATTCCACTGATTAACACTCATGCAAACAGATTGGAGTAAATAATCAGTGAAGCTAGCTTTAATTGTGTTTGAAATATCCAGGGCCAAATACCCAGGGAGAACCCAGTGTGCACTGGATGAGTTGGATATACAAGAGAATTTGCCTGCTATAACACATCTTGGCATATCTGTTGCAGAACACTCGCCTGTCTGGAATAACTGGTGTGTGTCTGGTGACTCTGTAGTATCTGGCTCATCTGTCAACACACATTCAGTTTTATTAATTGCACTGTAGCATCACATGTTTTGTGTGACTACATATCCACTTATCCACACTCTTATTTATATATTCTTAAAATCTGTTTCCCACTTTGGGATGATCTACAGGAGCACTTATTGCTCTGATGAGCTCAGTATGTTGTTCGGTCGATTTATCACACTCTGACATGACACACGGGTCCACTTCAATAGTCTCGATCATACTAATAAAGAGTTACTGTCAACCAAGCTAACAGCCTGTGCCGAAGCACTAAAATATGTATCAGTGATATGCGTTCAAGAGAAATGGATGCAAGCATTAAAACAGTTATGTTTATGACTTTGGACATTAAAAAAATGACTCGGCTTAGGTGCCATTTTTCTATAGCAATGATAATGATTTTCAAGGTACGAGAGGAATGTCTAAAAATTGACAATGATGATGAGAAAACAAGAAAGAGACAGAGGGAAAAAATGCCTGCATAGCAAAGCCATTATGCATGAACTTCAATTATAGCTGTGAGGAGTTATACATCGAGAGGGAACGATGAGGGCAGGAAGATACAGGGAATATGAATAAGTCATTGGTTTCCATGTTCTATATGCCTGGTTCACATGACGTCTTTCTCATTATTCCCAGGCTTGTCTATCCCATTCATCAATGTGATGAGACTCTGTGATCACAGACCTTTTGACCTAGTTTAGGGTGCTCAGTCAAAGTTCACTCCCCAGATTGACTTCGATCTCCTGCAGAATTATGCTGCAGCAATAGCATCACTTTTCAAGAAAAATAATAAATACATAAAAAAATCCTTCCAGCTTGTGGACCTTTAAATTATTGAGAGAAAGTGGTTAACATGAACCACAGGGTTTAAATCAGCAACACTCACCTCATTTCTTCCATTCTCTACAAATCTAGACAGATAAGAGGTTGGGAATACTGACGACTGATAGCTCTTTCTTGTTGAGTATAAATATCCATTATTAACCTGTAAATAACTGATTATTAATCTGTATCGTTTACGATTTGTTTCGATCAATTCAAAATATTCATATTAAATATTTTAGTGTCTATTGATGTTAATTTTGCAGATTGAAAAATAAGATCTGTCTATTAAAGATTTAATAGAAAGCTTGGCTATTTGTCTGGGTCAAAACTATTCATTTTTTAACAATGGATTATACTACTACTGTGACATTTGCATAATAAGAGTTGGTGGTTTAAATTCTTAATTGTGCTAATGCAAGTGTGGCTGCATAAAGTCTGCTAGCAGTCAATTAGTTACACTTCTTGTTCTCACTATAGTCTCATCTTTGCATGTAGTTGAACAATTTTCAGCCTGTAGAAGGAGGATATATCATTACCATTGATGAGGGCATTGTTAGCTAGCTAAAAGGGCTTATTTGGCACTGAAGGTAAAGTAAAATCTAATTCAGGTTGTGGTATTGTTCTCCATACAGGAATTGTTTGATTGTTGGTTTTCTCTGCATTATTATAGGGTCTTTTCCTTAACAACACAAAATGCCTTTAGGCGACTGTTGCTGTGATTTGGCACTATATAAATACAATTGCATTGAATGGAATTTGGACAAGAAAGCACCAAATGTGTCGAACACCTTGAGAGAACCGTTGTTGTGATTTTGTGCTATATAAATGAAATTTAACTGAATTAAATAGAACTGAATTGAATATAGACAATGCATACATGAGTACAGTAGAGATGGAAAGCATGGTACTCACAAGGAGAAGTTGTCTTCGACGAAGCAGCGGTTTCTGAGCAGGCCAGACCACAGCTGGACGCCCACTATGCCAAATATGAAGAAGACGAAGAAGCACAGCAGCAGTACATTACCCAGCATAGGCAAGGTGTCCAGCAGCAGGGTCACAAGGATACGCATACCTGAGAGAAGAGACAAAGCAAAGGTCAAACATCTGTGCAGCACACAGTAGATCCATATAGCTGCATTGTGTGGATCAGGTCTGTTTGAATGGAGAATCCAAGCACTTTCAGTTAAAGAGGCACTGCAGAACGTTTTTCATCGCTGCATATATCCTAGTCAAACAAGTACCATTCACACTAAATGTTGCATTTACCTGTTTTAACAGACCTGCAGGGACAAGTGCAAAATTTTGTGTTTTATTCATCTGATGAAATGACACACTTTCCAGCAGATGCCGAAGTAGCTTTTTTTAGTTTAATGAAAATGAAACAAAAATGATGAATCACAGAAATAACAGCCTGTTACATGTCATAATCTAGTAAATATAGCCGCTCTGCGCTTTATGTTTTATACTACCCAAACAGGGCTTATTAAAGGACTGTCAAAACACGGTCATTCATTTTAGGAGACGAAGTACAGTGCTGTGGGTCACTCGTAAACAATATGGGGCCCTTGACAAACAGAAATGATTCAGTGTGTCAGTTTCTCAGGATGAAATTTTTCGCCAGTAAAAAAGGTTTTCAGGAAATTGAAATGAACAACTGTAGACCGCCATGTATAGCAGAATTTAATTTTGCCCATCCATTTTTTTAATATATAAAGCACTGCTAATAATGACTTATAAATGGCATGTTGCACTGACAGGACCGATAGCTTTTGTTTTAGTTTTTAGGCTTTTTCCACATTTTTGATGTGAAAAACATAAAGAACTGGGATGGAGGTGGGTTGCAAAGAGGCTTGCAGATGTACAGCAATGTTGGGCAAGCTAAAGCAGCCAATAACTCTTGTTAGAGTTTCCATAGAAAGGTATCAGCAGAGCCAGATTGATCTTGTTCTGCCTGAACTGACTCTATGCTCAACGAAATTAACATCATGCAGTTTGACACATAGCTAGCTACTGCCTTTTTATTCCACACATTGTTTATGTTTGCTTTTTTGACAGAATCTAATCACTACATGGCCCACAGTACAACTCGAACACAACTTCTTTTCACAGTAGTATCCGATGAGTGTTAATAAAACACTAACTAGGCATTATAAACACTAATATATAGTGTATACACACTACAGTAAGCCCTAATTGGTCCAACACCAGATTGCCAATGTGACAGTGACAATGTCTTTCCAAATTTAGCGAGATGCTATTTAGAAGTGGTGCAAACCAACAGCATGTATTGATCATCAGTGAAATATGTCAAAGTTTCTGCTGCTGAAAAGTACTGTAAGTGCTATAACTGTCCACGATGACACTGGTGTAGCAAAAATCCAAAGTGACATCTCAGTCAGAGCCCCGGACGGCATAAATGCTTAGTAGTTACTAGAAACCTGTCATTTCACTGTGTTGGTGTGCTTAGCAACACCCTTTTAAAATAATGTTTAAAAATATATTTGGAGAAGACACAACGGTCCTGAGTCAAGCGGAAGTAGTTAGCAGTCTGTGAAAGTACCAGCAGGACTCCTACAGTTTGTTCTGAATTAAAGCCACAGTAAAAGACCTGCTTTATTGCCTTTCATACAGTACATCTCTAAATCTGTCTGCTCTGGACAGTGTTCCCTCATGTTTCTGACAACACACACACTTCCTACCGCCTACACACTCCCTCTGCTAACTCTGGCTCTGTCCCTCAGATTTTGATTTGATTTTCACATTGATTTTCTCACTAGCTGTATACTATCCAACCATCTGTTAATCTATCTTACCTAACCTTGTTCAGTTCTCTCTTGTTTTTGCCAATGTGTAATCTCTATTCTCCATCACATTGCTTTGGTTTCCCCTTTTCCCCTCTGTGTCTTTAGTTCCACCTCTGCCTGCCCATCTCTCTGTCTCTCTCTCTCCTTCTCTGGCTGTGTTTTTGAGTCAGGCGTTAATAATGAGGATCATTTTCCTGATCAGGGGTTTTCTGGGTAATTGGATAGGCCGAATCGAAGCCTGCCATTGCAATGGCAGAACTCATTTGATGGCACTGAGGAACAGAGGGCAGAAGGGAAGGACACTGAGTCAATGGAAAGGGCACCAAATAGGCAGAGGGTGGGAAAACGAGATATATGAAATCAAAGGGTTATCTGGTCCAATTAAAAGAAACCAAGGCACTGAGCTCATTCGTTTATTTGGGGGATGCTTTCAAAAGGGCAGGTGCGGATTTGATAAAAGAAAATGTTACAATTTGTTTACTTATAGACGCCCTGTAAAAACATGCTAATTTTAAGACTTTTAAAACATTTTGGTATCATTTTGAATGAAATTGTACCAAGGTTGGTTGGTTGGTTGGTTGGTTGGTAGGTAGGTAGGTAGGTAGGTAGGTAGGTAGATAGATAGATAGATAGATAGATTTCCCATTACAGTTTTGTGTTTAATCACTTTGTGTTTTGTGCAAATCCTTGATTCCACTTTGTGCTTTTTTAATGTTGCCTCAATTTCAGGCCACACCAGCATCCCATCAGTTATTTACTCTCTCAAGTATACAATGCTGTAGTTTCCCTTTGTCATTATCAGAATATTCATTTCTAGCAAAAAGTTTCCATACCTCATTCAAATTGTACATAATCTTCCTTTTTTCCTGTGCATTGTACTTTGGTTTTGTCATGTATTCGTTTTCACACGTGCCTTGTTGTCTAAACTGACTTGCCACCTGCGTATGACCACAAATATTTTATTTTGGATTTGACTCAGCCTCATAGCGTCCTGCTGGCTTTATATCAGTTTTGGCACATTATTGCCACCTTGTAAATTGGACTGTGGATTATAGTGTTGTCTGATCCAAAACGGCATGGATGCAGCTGCATTGTGTGATCTAAATGTGCACAGAAATTAAAATAGCATTATTTTGGTCTACAATGCTAAAAGTATTTAAAACCCCAAATATATGAATGTAAGAACATTTTATAATTTTTAAAGACTAGTGCCAGTTTTCAGGACATTTCAGGATGATGAACCATCTTGTTCTTTAATAAGTAATGAATTAATAAAATGTCAACATTTCAGCAAACTCATTTAAAATTTGGGCCAGTGATATTTTCATAGTGAATTTTAGGTACATAAGAATCTCCCTCCTTTAAAAAACTGCAGTGTTTTACCATTAAGAACTGACCATACAGATAAAAAAAAATCAAAGCAAAATAATTCAGTTAGTTGATTTCAAATTTTATCTATACAGCGCCAAACAACAACAACAGTTGCCTCAAGGCGCTTTATATTGTGAGTTAAAAACGCAGCAATAACACAAAGAACTCTCCAAATTTCTCTGCTCGCTTGAAATACTTGTAAAGATCCTGAAACCTAAATGTTTTAATCTGAACCGGATGAGTGAGATGAGAAGGCTGTCAGGAGTCTATCTGAGAGGCGGGATACACCCTGGACAGGTTGTCAGTTCTATCATGCGATGTTATTTATGGGTCCTTAATAACATACTACGACAATGCAGTTTACAAGACAACACATTACTTGTTTACACTCTGCCTGCTCGGATCTGGTTGTTATGTTTGTGCCGTTCCAAAACTTCCAAACTTTCCTCTAGCAGATAAACTAGTCAACATCAACACTTACAGCATGATTGAAGGGTGTTTCTTCCATCTCTGCTTTACTTTTTAAATTCGTCTTTATTAGCTGTGATGAATGTGGATACCAGTATATTGGCAAACAGCTAACATTAAGTTATAATATTGAGAAAGTTAAAATATTTCTCTGCTGAGAAATCATTTGGGCTCTACTTCAAAAATATTAAAGGGTAATCAGAAAAAATGAGCAATTTCCAAGTTAAAATCCCATCAGATGTGTTAGGAGCAAAAAAAAAAAAATGGGAATATGAGATGAAATGAAAAACAAATTCATGAATCAAAGTGGGTTTCCCTTGACATCTTCATGGTTCTTTTTTTAAATATACATATATCAGGAATACTTTAAAGTGTGATTTGGAGGAGATCCACTGTCAGAATACACAGTAAAGTCTTTGCTTGTGTCCATATCCACTAAAATCTCCTCTGGTCTGGAGTGAAAGTGCATGCATTTACCATTCCTGTTTTAAAGTTGGTGAAATTTCATCCTTTTCATGTTTAGACGACTGTGCCATCTGAGAGTAACACAGCAAACTGCATCAGAAACTTTTCATATCTTCAGCTCTGAGTTTGTTTTTCGTTTCAGTTTTTTTTTGTTTAATCGGGTGCACACTGACAGATTTTTTTTTTTTCCCGTGTTGACAGATGGGAGGAAATCCAAGAAGGAGTTTGCGGACTTTCTCAGATCTGGAGAACAAAATGAGCCACAGCCCGTCAGGAGAGGCAGGGGGAGAGATGAAGGGAGGAGAGGAGCAAAGGTAAGGCACAAGAGAATGAGTGACAGTGCTGAACATTTGCAGGATAACGTGCGTGTTTCGCAGACACTGGAGAAAAATCCAGGAGCTGTGAAATCCAGCTAAAATTGAAAAGTGACAGCAGAGAAAGCCTGGAAACTTGAATGGTACTTGAAAAGCACGGTTCCGTTTGTGTAATAGCTGCCACATTACACACTGGACGCGGTAGCAGCATAAATAGCATTTACCATCACGGCGCAAGATGAGAGGCGTAAAGAAATTATCTGCGATGCTCCACTCATCGTGCAAGTTATTAAATAAGGCTCTGCAGGGCTGTTTACAAGAGAAACATCCTGTCATGATTCAAGGGAAGCGATCCAGTGCAGGGAGTTATGTAAAAATGAAGGCATGACTCACTGCCTGTGGCCATTTGTAGCCACTTGCCCTTTGGTGGGAGACACCTTCATCACGACTGCCTGAACTGCCTGAAAATATACGGATTCATTCAGAGGTGTGAGGGCCCATACGCTCTGAGAGACCCGAGTCAAAAGGTAAATCTACCCCTGTGTTTCCCTGTGTTTGGTCATTGCAGACACACACACACACACACACACACAGAGTGCACATTAAGCAGCGACTCCTTCATGTGATCGCTCTCAGAGAGTAATGTGCTG